TCAATCTGTCAAATCGGTTTCACAGCATTTCTCTTGGATTGTTTCATTTCTATTCTGACAAAAAGAAATTACATTTTGGTAATTCGCTCTTCATTTTTAAGAAGTGATCTTTTGAAAATGTATATATTGCTGTGACAAAATGCAAGAAGGATTTTAAGACAGCATGTTTGATTTTAGTAGCCAATGCTACATATGAAACAGGTTATGATCCTGAGGTAAGCCAGACCTTTTAGACGTAATATTATGAACACACACACACACACACACACACCCCTTAAATCAACGGACTTGTCTTTTGTCACAGACAACACACAGTTGTTTTCATGGTGTCCCCTGCTCCTCTCACTGTGCTTTCATTGAGGTTGAGTGACCTCTTCTTTCCCTGATGAACACGTCACTGTCAGCCTCTATGACTTTCCATCACACACACACAAAGAAGAGGGACTCGTACAGCCAAAACATGGAAAGAATTAGTGCTTCACTGAACATCATTCTCAGATTTAGTAGCCGTTTGTCTGGTCTGAAAGCGAAGAGACAAGAATAAGCTTCATACAGAATATTTGTAGTGGGGAAAAAATCTGAGTGCATTTAAAACAAATCCTGCATGTTTTACTTCGAGGGGTAACGGTAATGATATAGTGAGGTCATGAAATTTTACCTTACATTTCAAGGATTTTACATAAGACCTCTGAAAGAGCAGTAGGGATTGCAATGAAGTTCATTTTGGGCAGTCTGTTAGCATATACAGTAAATTATCATTAGACTACAGTTTGACAGGTATCTTACTGTGCTTTTAGTTTTAGTAGTCAGGTGGCTCTGTGTAGCCAGAGGACTGCCTCCACAGCAGCACCACTTCAATTGTAAAAATAAGGGGATGTTGAGGTGACATCATTTGTGACATTTAAAAAATAAAAGACACTTACAGAGGACCTTTTTTTTTATGTTTAAACATGATAACTTGTTGGTAATAAATCAAACTGCAGTCTGATGCTTATTTGTTCATTTATTAACTTAATTGACTGGTCATTTCATTGCTGCATTCACCGACTGTCACTATCTTCACTAACTCACCAACACTGTCAGTGAAACTGGAAAAATGTTTTGGCAGCTGATGCCCTAAGTCTTGGCGACGTATGTAGTGTTATTTTCCTACTGTTGAGTTTTCTACTCAGTTTTCTGACAGCACTTGAAGGCAGCTCCAGAGTACTCTGCTCTGGAAAGGATTCAGAGCAGGGATGCTATAAAATGGCAGATTAGTCTCCATCTTCCTCTGGCTTGCTGGCTGCAGATTTAGCCTTTTTCAGGGATGCTCGATCTTAGACTGTGCTCTAAAACCTCTCTGTGTTCTGGGTTGCCAGGTTTGGAAACGATCGGGTGTGTATTTCCAGACAATTGCAATCAAGCCACACTTCTGTTTTGTCAGACATTATGCTTTTGCCAGACTTTATTGTTTTAGTTACACTAAACCTCTGGGATGCTAGGATTTGGAATCAGCTTAGTGTTTTCTCAGAGGATGAGAGGATGTACGCCTCTGTGCTGGCAGATATTACTGCATCTGGCAAATTTATGTAAACCAAACTTTTCCAGTTTACAGGTTTTGTCAGGTTGTAACAAAGCAGCCCCGGGTTGCCAGGTCTGAAGCTGGACTAGGACGATTCTTTCCATGTGAACCCCTGATGCTTTTTCCTGTGCTGATCAAACGACATGCCTGCGGCTCCAGTTGTTTGACATGGAACACATGGGCCCCGTTAGTGAACAGCAATTCACACAGACTCATAAAATTTTTTGAGTTTAAAAAAAAAAATAAAAAAAATCATCAATCAATGAGTCCTGGGTTTTATTTTTGTCCTCCCCCCCCCCCTTTTCCTGTCCTACCCAAGTAACACCAAAGCAGATGTTAACTGGTGCAAAGGTGACGAGCTTTGTCCTGTTGTTGTTATATGATCCGTTTCCACCTGCAGACCTTGAAAAGCAGAAAACTGTTTTTCTTCCAAGTCACACTTTTGTGTGGTTCAATTGATCAGTAAGTTTCTGCTTATGATGATCAACTTATCCACATTACAGTGAATAATGAGCAAAAATCCAGTTTCACCTTTCACAACCAGCCTTACATTCATTATATAAAATGTGACTTTGATTATATAATCCTCTTCAAGTGGAAAGAGATTTAATACTTAATTAATTCAATTTGAAGGAGGGCATTAGTTGAGTCAGGGATACAGATGGTTATTCAGCACAGTAGAGTAATTGTTCCCGGTGTGACCCAGACTTTCCACCGCTTTAACAATAACAGAGTCATTAATCTCCTGTATCCCATCTTATCTCTCGCTCCAGACACTACAAGCTAATACTTCAGTGGATGTGTCACTGTCCACATCCTGGTTTGTGAAGGGAAAGATGGGGTGGGGGGTATGTGCAATTGTTCCTGCAGGCTATTTGTCTACATTAGCCAGGAATTATTTCATCAGTCAGTATTATCGCTATATTAAGACAGATGTTTAACAAGCCGTGTCCACATAACCTCGCTGTGTATTAGGCCATAAACTGCTGCCACCGGTTATTGTGCTACTTACACGTGCAAAAGAAAAGGTGATGTGGGAAAACTAAAAGTATATTTCCCTTAATGAAATGCAGGGTGGTGGCTTGTAACCACTGTTGCTGCTCAAAGCATGGACATTGACCTCAACACATCTTTAAATCCATTATTGATTTTTTTATTGAATTAGAATAAATCGCCAATTTGGCCTTGAAACATTGTTCTTTTTTAATTGTGATAAAAATGGAAATTTCAAATAGGAAGCATTTAACAGTATTGTTAGTCCATGAGAGGTAGAAATCAAATACAGTTTCTGGACTGGATGAAAGACGTGCACCTAACAGACACCCGACACATTTACAGATCCACATTTGCACAAAAGTGTGGTCCAGACAGACCATCTCTAATCATGTCAAAAAGATCCTGAAATCCAACTTGCAGACATTTGTTATGATTTTTTGAGTAGGAGAACAACCTGCCACGTGGCTCTAAGGTGCGGGCCTGCACAAGTCCACCAAATTCATTAGCAACTAATAAAGTTATGTAACTGCGAGTTAAATTGGCCTGCCTCTCAGACATGAGTAGCTGGTGAGGGAAAACATTTTTGGCATATAACTGAGCAAATAGATTATTTTAGGGTGATTCATTTATGATATGCATCACCTTTTGGATTGGACCAAAACTACAGGAAGTGGTGATTAACCAAATTTGCAGAGGTTTCCTGTAGCATTTACAGTTGTTGACATCTTGTTCACTTTTTACGCGAATCCCTGTTGACTGCCCTGGAAGTTTACCGAACAAAAAGGTTTTTTTTTTTCCCCCAAAAGTGGTATTTCACAGTCATTTATAGTTCATCCCACACTGAGGGCTACATTTGCTCCTTTAGTGGCAGGTTTACCCATGAGGCTTTACCTCCCCAGTGTATGATCCATTCCTCCGGGGATCCTGCCTACTGCAGGCAACTGTTTACTGTCATTTCATATTTAAAGAAGAAACACAAAATCCACTCCTTGGAGACATTTACCCACTCTGTGCAGCTTAAAGATATGTTGCTTCATTTTCTACATAAAGTAGCTGAAAGATTCACAAGGAGCTTTGGATTTCACTAAAGTCCTTTTCAAATCCCTCTGGTTTTATTAAAGTTGAGTGCCAAAGACGTCAACAACAATGTCAGTTTGAGGAACAGACAAAATGATAACGTCATTAACTTTTTTAATTACTTCATCAAGAAGTATTTTACAAACTTCAGTGGGGTGATCACTTAGAGAAAAACGTTATGAGAAGATATAACTATATAATTAAGACTACAGTCAGGTCAGCGGTTCACAGTCTGGTGTGTTGAGACTTGGGAGGAGAATTAAAAATGATTATCCGATGTGCATAATGGACTCACTCCCTCTGTATGTCTGTAGATGACACCTCATTACTTCAAGCGGTGGCCCCCGTCCCCCTTTCCACCATGAATCATCTTTTTCACATTTGTTCTAAGACACTCTCTCCTCAACTCTCCTTCAAATACAAAATAACCTTTTCCCTCAATTATTTGTTTCCGTAACATAAAAAAAGGCATAATTTGCTCTGGCCTCATGCAATAAAAAATAAATTAAAAAACCCCCACACAGGGTGAGATTCAAACTTTTACAGCAATGGTGATTCTAGCCTTGAACTTAAAAGACCCCTGAGCTTTCTGACCATTAAAATATCACACACACTTGCATGTAAACACAGTATGACTGTAGAACTCACTGTCAGTCACCCCTTAATGTTATGATAACCTCTCTTTCTCCTCTCTATCTCTTGCGATATGCTGGCAAACACACACTCCCAGCCGCACAGGAATGCGAGCTTTACAGGCATGATAAATTCCTGCTTATGCAGTCATATGTAGGACGCCACCGGTGCCAACTGTCATCTGAAAACCTTGAGCTTTTCCAGATTGAAAGCATTCCTTTAGACTAAAGACGGTTAAAGCCTCCCTCTTTGCTATTTAGTGGTATAAATATACCTGCATTTGAAATTGCTGCAAAGAAAAGCAACTCACTTTGTTCAAAACTGTAGATCTTTATGTAAAAATAGACCTGTGGATGGATGCTGAGAAAGCTGTGTGTATGTGTGTGTCCCATATGAAAAGTTCTAAAGTGGCCTGGGTCTCCACGGGGAGGGGGTGTTAAAGGTTTTAGGAAGCTGCTACCAGAACAAACACACTCCCCACTGTTGAGAACACCAGGGAATCTGCACTTACACACACCCCCCTTTGTGTAAAGCCCGCAATGGTACTGGCACACAGATGTAAACCAGACTTCAGCTGGGTGGCAGGGGGAGGGATGCCAAAAACTTGTGTTTAGTGTGTGTTTGACTCTGCTTTGATGAATTTGTTGACTAAGGAAAAAGAAAAGAGGGAATTAGGCTGGCGATTAAGAAGATTGTGCAAGAGGATGGCAAAGTTGAAATTCTCTCGTATTCATATTACACTCACTTTTATTTTCAGATTAGGCACACCAATTTCACACATCAAAATGATTTTGTCCTAATTAGTACAACTAGTCAGAAAGATGATGTCATCTGGGCGCTATCTGGGTACGACTTTTTAAAATCAGGAGATCCTGCATTGCAAAGTGGGGGGGATGGAGTTTAAAAAAGGCATTGCATTTACCTGGAGGGACAGGATAAAAGTCACTACTGAGTTCTATTAGCTGACATGTGAGCTTGACCTCTAAAATCCACTGACTCTGGCTACGGCGCATTATGGCTGTGCCGCAGCTAATCGCAGCCATTATGGTCAATGCTTGCGAGTCCACCAGACGCAGCCGCAGTGCGTCCCTGAAGCATCACAGAAACAGCTCTCCGCTCTGCAGAGAAAAGGTAACAGATCTATTTTTGACGCAAGCAGAGTCAAGCAGCACAGAGCAGATTGAACCAGGCAGGAAGTCACACACAGAACGGCATAGGGAATCCGGTTAATTTTCAAATTAAGACACCCTATCGTAAAATAATAAACAATTAAAACAGACACAAAAAGAGATAATTTAACTACGTAGCCTACTTAATCATAACACAAAATGCAAACACTTTTTGTCAAACTGATTATCAAATCAACAAAATATAAAAACACATCAGCAACATCAGGCTCTGATTCTGAAATTCTCCTTGTGGGAAATGCAGCCTGAAGTTGACGGAACAAAGCAGGGTCACAGAGCTGTGAAGAAGGTAGAAGCACAAATATAACAAATTAATAAGTCAATAACGTGGGGCAGGCTGCACGCTGCTGGAACGTTTCGGAGACGCTTCCAGTGGACGCAAGCAAAACCGTGGCGGAGACGTAACGTGTCGTAGTGGGACATCAATTTGGATTCTGCCTGCTAGAAGTCTCAATTCAATATTCATTTTCTCAGTTTTGTTCAACAAACAATTCAAATCGCCAAAATATTACATTTACTAGCATAGAAGACTCAGAAAAACAGGAAATATTCACATTCCAGATTAGGGTTGGGCCGATAGACGATGCAATCATCCATCGGCGATGGCTGACAGACATCACGCCGGCATCGCCATTGTAAAACCCCCGCCCCTGCGCACCCGTTGATGTCGTCCATCCCGATGTTTCGTTGTAGACAATCGTCTGATGGAAATTTTGTAGACATAACCCAACCCTATTCCAGCTGTTGGAACCAGTGATTTGTTGGCAGTTTTGCATAAAAATTACAATTACTTGATGATCAAAAAAGCTTTTCTGTATCAAACTAATCACTCAACCAGTAGTAATAATAGTGATTTCTTGTTGGCTGACAGGGGAACATTAAAACTGTGTAACAGAGACAAACATTGTTTTGGATGACAGTTTGAACAGTACTTTGTGCTACATTAGCAGCTCATTCCTGCCAGTGAAGCTTATTTAACCAGGAGTTAGTAAGCCAACTCTTCGTTAAAGCTGGCAAGAGAACAAAAATGGATGAATCTTCAAAAAAAAAAAGGGGTTTACTTTTCTATTATTTGGTAAGTGGCCAATGTATATTAGGGTCATAATACACTGGTGGTATAGAAAATTATGAACTTGGTGGAGTAAATGTCATTGCGCTTGAACCACATCATCCTTCACCATCCTTGTTTTCAATTATGTAGGATTTTACAGCCAGCCACAGCAAAACTTGCAACGTAGACTGGCGAGACCCAGAAAGCTTTGATATGCTAAACTGCATTTATTTGAACAATTTATTCATGAAAATACTGCATACCAATTATTGTCCATATAATAAATAAGTTTCAAAACTACATAAAGTACCATTTTTGTGCCCAGTTCCACTTCAGTTCTGTCGACTTTTTAAATGGATAAAAAGGGGGGACTTAATTGGTACCAGAGCAGACAGCCTTTTTTCTGTTCTAGAAGAATGACATTGAAAGAGAATCACAATGTCTAGACACGGCTGTCACATCAAAGAATTGAAAAGAAAAAAATAATCTATTAACACTAATCAGTGGGAATAATGTGTGCCAGCTGAAGACAATGATTTAAAGGGGGATGCTGTTAAAAAATAAATAAAACAAAGGATTCTGGAGGTTACTTGATGTCACGTGGAGTGGAGTCCTGACACTTTTGTGCACCATTAATCCAATATTAATGGAAATTCAGAAATGGCATGACTTGCAAGTGTCAAAACACTGTCAGACACCATTTGGCTCAGTGTAAAACAAATGTGTCCACTTCTCTGCTGATCAGTGTGGATCAAACAGTGAGACAAAGCCACAAACTGGCTCCACAACAGTTTCTGGTGAGTAATGACCAGTGTAGTTGTGTCACGAGTTAAAACAACTCTTTGTGGTCTTTTTTTATTTTATTATTAACACTAGGGCTGTAAATGTAAGTCTTTTAGAATATTTTCACGGTTGCATCTCTGGAAATATGATCTAAAGCACACCAGCCACCGAGGTTTACTCAAACACAAGCATCCACAAAGTATCCAGTCACATCCTTTATATACTTTTAGGATAAAATCCCCTCAGATGTGAACTTAAAATAGAAGTTCCTGCAGCTGGTTTCACTTAGAATAAAGGCTCTATTAAAAAGGAGTCGTAATCTGTTCTAGTGGGAAGCTGTACTCTGATGACTGCCTTGTTATCGGACTCCCTTTTCTGCTGGATTTTTCCAGTCCACCTTTGAGAGGAAACAGCAGCAGGAAAAGCCGGCGCTGCAGCCGATAGGGACAGAGTGGGACGACACAGGTGGTCCTTCCATTTGACTGGGGGTGGAAACGCACAAAAGCACATGACTAAATTCTCTCCTAACCTCTGACCAAACCTTAAACGTATCTTAAATTGTAAACTCACATCAAAACCTTAAACTAATAGCAATAGTCTAGCAATAGTCTTGCGTTTAGGTCCAGCTGCACACATGATCACCGATTCAATAATAAAGCCTATAGCCTACTGTAACTTGAGGGTAGCAGTGGCTGTTCTGGCCTACTTAAACCACAGGGGCCAGACATCCTTTCAGAGGGGCCATTTAAATTAACCCTTAAGTTTGACTCAAGTCATACAGGTTCTCCAAAATTCAGAAGTAAGAGACTTACTTTAACATACATGCAACCGGAACACCAATAAATATCAGTCTCTCACTTCCTTTTGTCTGACCAACAGTTAGTTCAAAACCAAAAGATATTCAATTACAGGGATAAAAAACAAAAAGCAGCAAATCATCCTATATGAGAGGGCTAAAATCAGAGAAATATCAAAAAATAGTTTCAGCACTGAAAGACACTGCAAATGCTGCAAACACTACTAACACACATTCCTTAATTTAAAAAAATATTAGTATTATAAATACAAAACACTTTATATACACAGTATTCCAGCGCTTATATTTGTACTGGAATACCAATACACCTGCAAAATTCCTTCACAAAAAAAAGTAGTGCATGAATCAAAACATAGCTTGCACACTGCTTTGTGTTAAAGACTTGCAAGTGCCTATCTGACCTTCTGCACAAGCTGCAATAAAAAAATAAAAACACACAGCAAATGTGGCTCCTAAGAAATGCAAAACCAAGCAGGGAATTCCCGAATTTATTGTGCTTGTTTAGACAGCGAGCAATAACACAGCAACGTCCTGGTAAACAAAGCACAGTAGCCTTCAGTTAAGCAACACAACCTCAATAAAATCAACAACTGCGCAGCAACAAAATACATCCACGGCAGGCCATTGAGCAAAACACGAAAGAGCCAAGAGACTGGCCAGACAGAAAGAGAGAGGGTGTATTGACTCACGTTATCTGAAGATCATTCTCCAAAGTGGTTCATATCCTTCATGTCATTTAATCTAACTTGACTTGTTCTTAGGAAAGTTTTCACCAGGACCTCGTCTCCACGCTTCATTGCTGCGAGCTTTATTATGTGTATAACTTTATAGGCGCTGTAAAACAAGCTAAAGTTATTTTATTTCAGTTTACTCCGCTAACTTCCATGAATTTGTTTGGCGTGATGCCAGAGTGCGACTAACGTTAGTTGTGTCAACATGTGATTGGCTGATAATTTATTTAATCAAAGGAGATCAGGTTCACCTGGCTTCTTCTCAGCAGACTTGACATGAATAACCTTTTCAAGCAACAAACACTGACTCAAATGCACTGCCCACCTGAAACCAGTGGGGCGCTGTTTCACTCCTTATAATGATTCAAATGAATACTTAAGAAGTTTTTTTCAATTGCGAATGGTTAAAACTGAAGCCACTTTTTCAAAACTCTTCACACAGTCTGCCTTACCAACATGCATCTTGGCCAAACTCTCACCTCCAAAAGTCAAAACACTTCATACAAATCTCAAAAACACGTTCAACCAAAGCACTGCCAACAATTCTCACTCAGAAAGCATCCATCGTCACACATAACACACTGACCTTTGAAACACTAACAACAGGAAGCAACACGTAAATTGGATGAACTTTTATCTTCGAAATGTGACTTTTTCATATTAATCAGTATTTCATTATAGAATACAGTTGTTCCCAGTCATTTTGGTACATTTCTCAGATCAGAATGAAAATTCTACTTGTTCAAACCTCCACATCATGTAGTCACTTGTGCATATAGCAATTTCTCAGTCTTTTGAGAAACTTGCAAATTGCAAATGCTTTGACACATTTATGCAAATTATTATGTAAATATGTCTGCTTTTTCCTACATTATCAATTGCTTACTGTATGTCAAGTTGATCACAATGTATTATACTGGATCTCTGTTGAGTCGTCTTGCCCCCCAAAACCTCTAGCCATAAGTTAATTGCGTAAGTCAGTACAAGCAGTATGGTTGAACACGTCAAATGTGCAAAGCCTTTTTTCTACATGTCTATTAGACTTTTTTGTAAATGTGTCCTACAGTAAATTGATGAAGATATCTGTCGTGCTGTGAATACGAATCTGTGGCCCAATTGACAAGAACATCAACCTGAGGGTGTGTCCATGTTTCCATTTCTTATTTTGTAATTGTTTCCTTTATGCTGTGCAGTGTTTTAAAATAGTCTCGTCTTTTTATTTTCTGCATCACAATGACGTGCTCTGTCAACAAATTACAGTGCATACAGTAAATGTGTAACGGTGAATACTGTCTAATCCCTTGCAATGTATAACTCTGTACTGCTGAAATTGATCTATGCCAAACAAAAAGTGCAGCCTTGTGCATTTGCAATCATTTTCATCCAAATCTTAGCCATAGTTTACCAATAGTTTTGCAAATGTTAAATTTGTAACACATTGTTACTTTATTGACTGTACTATAGTTTCTGTTACAAGAATGAATCGAAAATGCAGAAATTTCCTTCATTATCCTTTATTTTTTTTCACTGCATTCAGTAATTTACTTGTGAAAAGATTTTTCTGAAATTTCAATGATGCAATACAGTTTTTCTTAGTGGTTTACACAGTAAAACTGGTACCTGAGACACAGTGACCACAACCTTGATTGAACTGATGTACCAACCCCCTGAAGCAATTCTGCTAAAATCTATGCACATTTCCTGCTTTACACTCAGCTTGCAGTTTTACAGTAAAACCACATTGAAAACATGACACACATTTATCTGTCCATTTGCAATCATTCTGTTTTGACAGTTTTTTACAATTGCTAACAAGCATTTTCCTGTATTGAGATTACTTTTTCAAAACTCTTCACTCTCTCTCTCAAAGTGAGAGATTAGCAAATGCTAACATAGTCTTTTCAAAACTGTTAAATTTAACTTCAAAATTATACATACATTCAAATGGAGAGCAATTTGCGACATTACAAACCCCATTTAAATACATTCAAAATCCTAAAAAAGATGGTTATGGAGACAAGTAGTGAAAAAGTATTGATTAAAATTATGTAAATGACACCAACAACAGGTCATTCCTTTCTCGGTTAAAGTCCTACCCTGGTCTTTTCACCTAGTGATCTCATTACCACCTACATCAGGAGACATCTTTCAAATGGATTGTTACACCTCCACTTCACTGGAGCCTGCAAGAGACGGAGGAGAAAGAGTGGTACGGAGAGGAAAAGGATTCTGCATGCGTGGTAGTGTAAGACAGCAGAGATGACCAAGAGCTGTAGTCTCTGATGACATTAGGACTACTGTGGTAACCAGGTAATCAACCATGGGCTATCATTGAAAGAGACTGGTCTCAGAGAGCAGCCAGATGTGACCCGCTCAACGGTGGCATCAATTGTCAGAATCTTCCAGTGAACCAACAGGTAAAATATGTATTCTGAAAAGGCATAACTGCATATTACCAAAATTAAAATCTATTGTTTGTGTGTAATTCTTGTATTTCTTCTCTAGGACCCAACGACTAAACCCCACAGGGGAGATATCATTTAGAGAGTCATGGAGCTGGAAGCCCATGTTTTTATCTATGTGGACTTGGCCAAAACATGCTGTTGAGGACAGAATTTGATTAGCAAAAGAGCTAAAGTGGGTGTCCCAGGCCAAAGGGGTGCCAAGGTTACCATGTGTGCAGTGATGTCCTTCGATGGAGTGCTGCTACACAGATGCAAGAGACCGACGAACTAACTTTGTTTTGTTTTTTTTGAGCAAGCATTTACAGTGCTGAATTTTGTTTTCCATGCTACTTTCATTTAGATAAAGTACAGTGAAGCTTTTCCTGTTGTATACTGTTGTACGTTCTATTAAGACTTACCATTCTTACTGTAGTTCATAATGCTAACTTTACACTTCACACAACCAAAAACTAAAAGAACACAAAATGATTTACTACTTCAAAGATTGCTAAAATGATTGTATGCTATCTGTTGTTAGTGCTTTTTGGGTAATTGTGTGACAAAGTGTTGCTTTTGGAGAGAACCACTGCTGGTGTTTTTGTAAAATCATTTGATATTGAAAGTATGCAGTGTTTTAGTAGTGTGAAGTGTGAAGAGTTTTGAAAAAGTAAAGTCAGTACTGAAAAATGCTTGTTAGCAATTGTAAAAAAAAAAAAACAAAAATTGTAACAGGTTTGGACACAGTGTGTTATGAGTCTGCAGGTCTCCTCCCCGACCCCTTGTGTTTATGTTCTCTTCCCTCCCTGTGTCTCCTGTTAGTCTGTCTGTCTGTCTCTCTGTGTTGTCTGGGCGTGGCTTCTCACTCTGGGCCTGGCTCGCCACCTCCACCTGCACACCTGATCCACATTCCACTAATCAAGACTCTGCAGTATATCAACCCGGTTCTCGTCAGCTTACCTCAGCGGTATTAGCGCTGTGGCCTACAAGTCTTGAGTTGTATATTCTGTTGTTTGTTTCTTGTGAGATCACTTACCTTGTCTCTCTGTGCTCAGGATCACTGCCTGTCTGGAAATTCTGCCCCTGCCTCGCTCAGCTCACTGCCTGTCTGGAAATTCACTCGCTGGTCCCCATTCCCTGATCTGCCTTCTGCTCCGCTCTCACACCCCTTTTCAATAAACTTTAAATTCCTGGATTTAAACCTGCCCCGAGTCTGCTCTTGAGTCCGTTCACCTAGTCTGCCATAACACAGTGTGTTAGCATTTGAAAAACGTGATGCAGGTGGTGAAGTAGTAATGAGAAAAGAGTTCATGGATTTTGGAGAAAGTAGTCATTGAATGCATGTTGTGTAAAAGCAATGAAAATGATTCACAGTTTGGTCCCCATTCACTTCTGTTACGCTGACTGTGTGAAGTGTTTTGACAATGTGACTTCAGTTTTGACCAATGCAGGTTAGCAATTGAAAATAAACTGTAAGAAGGCAAGAAAAGGACCCTCTTAGACCCACCCCAGAACTACCCCGGAAAGGTTTGGCTGCCATTGAGTGTGTCACCTGTTGTTTGTGACCACATTTTAATATACACTTTGTTTTGTTTGTACCTTGTTTGTGTGGTGTGTGATCATTTTCCACATAGAGCATTTTGAGCAAAACTTTAAAGTGCCATTAGCAATCTTTTTATGACATACACTGTAACAGATTCACTGTGGAATGAATTGATGGCTGCTTTATTAATGTATTTATGTATTCTGTTTCCTTCCCTCTTTCCATTTGGCACTGTCAACTTGCAACATATCACACTCATGGAAAGTTAAGTCAGAGAGATAGAATAAAATAACCTGGCATATATACAACAACCCAAACCTGTCCTGATCCCAACAGGTTTCAACATTTTTTTCTCTTTTGAGTCAGGTGCATACTGTTCTGTTGTGTAAAGCTTTAAGCTTGGGCTGGGTTTGAGTACTGAAACTCACTGACTAGTTTTTTCTTCTCTGACAATGTACATGCACTTTGGTGGTCAGCTGGCCTTTTGACTGTAGTCTTTTGGTGTTGTTCAAGTCCAAGAGAAGAGGTGACACAAAGTGTTTGATCATTTAACGGTGGTGTTGTGTGACACAGCGGTGCCTCAGGGCCCTCACATTTAACAAATTTGTGTGTGTAGCTGTTAGTGTGACTCATCCTCTGCCTTTCTTTCATTCATTGTGTTTGTTCCTGTTTACTCTCCACAGTGCGGACCATTAAAGGCAGGCAGGATTGTTGCAAACACCCTTACAGAACTCAGGAAAACAGATAAAATCACCATCTTCCTGTCCAAAAGCAAGTAGTTGTCCTATTAAGAAAAGTCTGGTCTCCCAAATGCATCGCAGTGCTGATCAAGCTGCGCCCAATGCTGTTATATATTTTCATGTGGACCTTCTTTTAGTTTCTTCTCTTTTCACTGTCACGTGTTGAAATCATGAATTGTGTCAGAAGCCAGAACTTCTCTTGTTCTCTTAAAGAAACAAGAAAAAGTAACTAAATTAATCAATTAAAAAATGTTTTACCCGTACAAACTGCAGTTCACTCCGTTTGTCGAGACATGGGTTGTTTTTTGTGAATGATATTATGTTGTTTATCTAATAAATCTACAGTACTTTTGCCAGCCTTTAGCAAACCCAAGACAAAACTTAAAAATGTCAACAGCGTAACAGATTAGAGAAAGATTATTCTTAGGAAGTTTTTTAAAAGGTGAAAAGAGGATTATAATGGATAAGGGAGAAAAAGTTATAATGACGTATGATACA